TGGTAGTACGATTAGAACACTTGATGTAGTAAGATACGTTCTTCTTATCTCTTTAAGTACTCTTAATTCAAAGGGGATACAAGTGTACTATTGAAGATAGAGTCCTGAAAGTTGGTAAAGGAGCCAGCGTTTTGCTAAGGGAGTTTAGAACATTCCATTTATATATCTTGCAGTGTTATACAAAACTTTTGAGCAGTCAACATATTTTAATAACTCGGGTGGAATTGGAGGTGGATTCTATACCGTTGGAAGACAACTTAGGGTTTTCTTTGAAAAATACATCTCAGTTGAATTTAGGAATTATATGTAAATTGTCCTTGCCACAATCCTCGATGGTGTCATTTTATTCAGTTGTTAGTAGCATGCCCATTTTTTGCCATAAGACTCCACATAAGTACAATTCTATTGATTTAGTTGATGGTTTGAATGCAGTTACGGGTGTTGATTCTAGCAAAATCTTTCTTTCGATCCATTCAATTGTGATTTTGTTACAGGGCTTGTTTTAACCTTGTTCCATGGTCATTAGATCACTCCCCCTAGTTAGAGGAAGAAATCCCCCCAATGGTCACTGAACTTTGCAGAAAATTTTCTAAGAGGTCACCAAACTTCAATACGTCCCTAAATAGTCACCAAACTTTGTCGAAGTCCCCAAAGAGGTCACCGAACTTCAAAACGTCCCTAAATGGTCACTGAACTTTGCTCCATGGGAGGTCACTAAACTAGTTATGTATGGGGTCCCAATTTGCAACATTGAGTGACCTCTTGGGGGACTTTGGTAAAGTTCAATGGCCATTTAGGGACGTTTTGAAGTTCGGTGACCTCTTGGGGGATATCGACGAAGTTCAATGACTAGTTAGGGACGTATTGAAGTTCGATGACCTCCTAGGGGATTTTCTGCAAAGTTCAGTGACCATTGGGGAGGATTTCTTCCTAGTTATGGTAGCAGAGGTAGAAAATATTTTCTGTTGGAATTTTTCAATGGATAAGCTCCTTTGTGTTTTTCATTGAAGATTTCAAGTTTATTCCTTATAGTGAAATTTGTTTCCAAGTGAAGAATTTTCTTTTAAAGTTATGTTCATTATAGTGGAATTCGTGTCAAAGTGGAGATTGTTAGAATTTGAGTGTGATTCGAATTCTTTGTAGAAGATAATTCATAGTTCTAATTAAAGTACACATTAAAAAGAATTCTATTTAGAATGCTATTGTGGAATCTTATTCAAGTTTACGTGGTAAATTCTAGTTGAAGTTTTATTTGAAACCCATATTGGGAGTTGAAATTTGTATTGGATTTGAAGATATTAAAATTATGGATTGGAAGGTGTTCTCGCCACATTTTCGCTAGCCTAGGGCTAGTTGGGCGCTCAAGCGCCAAAAGTAGAAAAGTTGGCGCCCGCCTGGTGTTAGCCTACCGCTCAAGCAACAGGGCATCGCTAGTCTGGCACTAGCATCTTATCTCGGCCAAGCCCATTTTCACGTTTGGACGAGTTTTCTTGCATTCGACTTCAACTACAACTCTTACTATTAGGGTTTGGACATCTTCTATTTGTTCCCTATTTATAGTTGGCTCATAATGAACAAGTTAGAAATATTTTAGACACAAATCTTTGTATTCTTTCTCCATATTATAATAAAATCTCATTTTCTTTGCAAATTATATTGTTCTTATATCTTTGAGATATTTACTTCATATGTGGTTTTAAACTCTTATTTTTACAAACAAATAGGTATTGGATTAATCCAGTATCATCTTCGTTTCACAACATTTCTTATTACACATTTTAGAGTTATCAATATTTTAGCATGTTCTGATTCTTGATGCAATGACATTGATAAGTGTATTTTGTGTACCTATCTCAGTCATTAAATTAGAGTAATTATTATTATTTTCAATGAATTGAGGCTTAATTTTGTATAGATTTCATTTTTTAGGTGCATCTCAACAAAAAACGATGGAAGTGGACAAAATGAGCGAAAAATTGGCCAAAATGAACTGAATCTAAAGTTTGGGACTAAATTGCAAAGTGATGATAGTTGATTTGGACCTAATATTGATGATTGGAGAATATGTGGAATCAATTAGATAGAATTGAAAGAAAAAGAACCAAGAAGACATCAAAAAGAGCTAAAATGAATGAAAACCAAAATTGAGGGATCAAAGTGCAACAAAAGGAAGATTTTATAATGGCAAGTGTGCACGGGCTTATTGTTACACATGTGCGGGACGTAGTTGTGCATTTATTGATAGCAAACCCAATAGATGACGCGCGCACTCAATGGAACATATGGCGCGCGCTCGCAGGCCTAGGCCCAAATGGTCCAGCGTCCTCTTTTGACCTAAATTTGTATAGAAATCAATTTTATCCTACTATTTAAGCTACAACGGACTGGTAGAACGGGGGAATGATGGAATATACATATTTTCACCACAAGAAGGAGGCTAGCACAAGAATCAAAGGCGATTAACACAAGAGGTAATTGATATTTCACTTTTCAATCATTGTTTTTCAATTCTGGGTGATTTTTTTTCCAAGTCTTTTTGTATAATTTATTAAATAATATGCTATGTTAATTCTTTTCATGTATTGGATAGAATTAACCTTTTATTATTTATTTTTAATTTAAGACAAGTAGTTTAGTTAAATTCTCACAACTCTTGATTAATCTTGCATGCTTAATTTTATTATTTGATTATTTCTCCAGTTATGGTTACTTATTATCGTGTTAGAAGACTCACGATAGGTCTACAACACTGCTTTTTTAACATATGTGCAATAAATTAGGAATAATATTTATCACGTGTGCAATCTTTCAAATTATTGTAAAATTTAATGCGTTCTATTCTTTCGAATTCAGACTAGAAATATATTCGGGTCATGATTAGAATATCTTTATTTTGTCTTGAAAAAGAAAATTAATTACAATAGAATTATCAATTGTCAAAAATGTATGAAGAAAACTAGCTACGTAATTGAGGATTATAATAGATAATAGTATGTGGATTCATAATCAAATAAACTCATTTCATACATATACAAAACTTGAATTTTACAAGCTTTAGTAAATTAATTTAGAATAATCACAAACCACAAATCACTTTTGGTTGCTCACTTTGAATTTGATTAAAGACTGGTACACTCAATTGAAATTTTATTCCTTGTTGGATTAAACATGTTGCTCATCACTTATCACTTGTCAACGATCATATACCTTGTAGGATTTTATCGAACAGACATCACTGTGTAATAGAGAATCTAGCAACCAAAGAAATGTATTAATGCGTTTTCATTTTCAGGTATCATATCGCTAAAAATTTTCCTATTCTTGTAAAAGATCTCTACTTATTTCAAAAAGAATGGACAATGTAAGTGAGGTTGAACAGAAAAGGAACTGTTGAGAAATATGAAAATCATAGAGGACCACTATTTGAAACTCATTTTGATTGACGAAGAGGTTATTGTTGTTATTGTCATAGTAACGATTTCTGTGTTGCCTTGAATGGTTCATGATCATTTTATATAATAAATTATTTTCATGTAACTCAAATAATTAAATTCTTTTTAAAGGAACAAACGTACAAGCATTGATGAACAACGAACTATTTTCGTGATTGGAAAAGATCGTAGAAAAAAGGATTATTCTGTGTGTACACCTTATAGCACAATCCTAGAAAAAAAAAAAGATAAGGCACACCATATTCACAATTAATTATAGCTATCTCAATGTAAATGTTGATGTTAAGCTATCGATATCATCAATCATGGAGATAGAGAATCTGAAGATTGTATTTCAATGGAAGAGATGCTATACAATTTCATTGATTTTGGAAGAACTTAGTGTAGGATAATTTATTGCTTTAAATTTACCGGATTTTTCATATTAAATCATCAAGAAATTGAAGAACTATAGCGGAAGCGTACCTGAATCAGACATGGTTAATGCAATAATGAATTTCACGATTTTCTCTTCCAAATCTACACGCGATCTTCTTTTTCTCTCTGTGATGGGGTGCATAAGAGAGTGAATAATACGTACGTGTGATATGGGGACTATAACCGTATTTATATAGTGACGCCCTTTGACCTAATTCGGCCCATCATAGAATTAGGACTTGGGCCCGATCTCTACACATATATAAACCCACACTTTAATTGGATATATTAAAGCCCAAAATTGAAGTCTTATTAGATCACTTTAATTGGGTTTAACCGAATTTGATAGCTTCTAATTTAACACACAATTATTCACGCATATAAACCCATCAATGGATTAAAAATCCTTACACTTAGGATTTGAAAAATGATTAATCTGTTTTGTATAGAATTTCTCTGCAAACAATTTTACAGGTGCTGCCGATTGTATGACTGTTGTTTTTTTTTTTTTGGCCCAACACCTTACGGAATACAGTCAAGTGAAATTTTATCATTGCTTCCGTGAAAATTTCATTTACACTAGCATTGTCCCTTAAAAAATGCCAACACAATGATCGGTACCCACCCTTTATTTGTTAGACATTGTACATTATCATTCCATTTTTTCCTCTTCATTTTATTTAAGTTATTATGTATATCGGAATAAAAATTCATCTTTAATTGTATTGTCGTTCAAATCAAGTTAACATGGGCCATATTGTTTTATCTTTACTCCAGCTATAGCTTTAACCTTCACATTTAAAAATATAAATAACATATGAAATTCAAAATTCTATGGCAAAACTAGTAAGTATGAAAGAAGACAAGGCGGCCCAGTATGAAGGTGAACAATGGTGTTAAAACTAAGAACCCTGCTATGTGTACACCAGGCTTGTAGCAAAATTCTAAAACTAAAGAAAATGATGTCACCCAACAAACAAAACAATAATAAGAAGTGTTTAATTTAAACATTGCACACGATAGAGATATAATGAAGAAATGCATTTACATTATAGAGCTAAGAAAAAACGCGGAGAAGAGAAAAGAAAAGAAATTGGCACCAACACGTCAATGGAGGTAAAAACCCGAGTCTCAACAAGTTTCATACTCATCAGCCGTCATTTCCAGAATACGAACTTGAAAGTCCTCATTTCCCAAGTCTTGTTGTTCCTCATAGATATCTTTAGCTGAAGTCGCAAGTGAATCGCTGCAATAATACAACTCAATTTTTTGAAGTGTTGGTATTTGTCCAATACCACAAGGGACCTCTTTCAGACGCTTGCAATTGTCAAGGATCAGGTTTTCGAGTTTCGGGAAGTGGGTACTCTCGGCGTTCCAATCCTCCAGATTATTTTCTTCGAGTAGCAGAAATTTTAATTGAAGAAATTCTCCTTCTTTTGGTTCCCACACTGTTCCGCTGAAGGCTTTGCGTTTCAGTTTTAGCACTTGAAGTTTTTCCAATGAACCAATAATCGTCATATCTTCCCAAGGAAGAAAACAGCCCCTTAAAGTCAACTTTTTGAGTGAAGGGGGGAAACGAATCTTCTGCAAGAAAGTTTGACGGGGGAACTGAAAACGGCATTTCAATGCTTCAAGGTTTTCTAGAAGTTCAAGATTATTGAGATAGTAGTCTGACCAATCCGCCCTTATATCATCATATAAGACCCCCAATTTCTTTAGATTTGGAATTCTTCTGAGGATATTCTCCACAAATTTAAAATTCACCACGGTGGAAAGAGATCGAAGGTCGTGTAGAACAACAAAAGAGTTTTCCTCTTCAACTCTTTCTATGGGAGGATCAGGCAAAATCACCGAGTTCAAATGCACATGTCTTAACTGTGGCATCCTCCATATTTCTAACGGTAGACGAAATGACGACTCCACACAAGAAAGAATCAAGGTCTGCAGATTTCTAAGTTCGTGTATTGGTGAAGGTAACTCCCTAACGCCATTCAAACAGGCAAGGTACCGCAAGTTTAGTAGTTTTACTGTCTCAGTTGGGAAATCAGAGCTATTTCCATTCTCTGTATCCAATACTCTGATTAGACTACCAGAGTTTAGAAATTTTACTGAAAGAGAGAGTGTGGGATCAAAATTCAAAACAGATCGGACAACTGAAATAGGTAGATTATAAGCATGACGAAAATTAGTTCGTGGGTTTGGATGAATACTTACCCTACGCAAACTGATAAAGTTTGCCGGAAGCCTCTGGAGATTCGTATAAGTGAGATGACTCGTACTTATTTCTTTCGGAAGATCACCGAGACTCCCGTCAGTGACATGAAAGATGCTCTTCTTCTTAGCTTCTCTCACACAAAACTCGCGTAAGAGATCATGGATTTTGCATGTTTTAATTTTGCCTTCAGAACTCCGCTTAGAAACCAAAATAAGGCTTCTCTCGACAAGATTCAGTAAGTACTCATCTGCCACATCTTCCAAGCTTTTGCTGGTCTCTGTTTCTATTAAACCTTCTGCAGTCCATAACTTGACAAGTTTGGATGCAAGGATCTCATAATCCTCCGGGAAAATTCCCATATAGAGAAAACATGCTCTCAGATGATGAGGCAGATTGTTATAACTTAAATGCAATATCTTTGACGACTGATCATCATGTGAAGCTATAACCGAACTTAAATTCTTCGCAACATAATCCCAGTAATTTTGCGTTTGGGTGGACTTTGAGAGGAGCCCTCCAATCAAAACAATTGCAAGTGGAAGTCCACCACATTTTTTGGCAATCTCGGTCCCCGTTTGAATCAATTCACCGGGGCAACAATCTCCTCCAAACACCTTCTCACAAAATAACTTCCAACTTTCATTTACATCTAGAAAACGCATCTGATAAGGAGGTCTTGAAGACTGGACATAAAAAGCCACTTCCTCCAGCCTAGTAGTCAGTATGATACGACTTTTCTCCTTGTCAACTGGAAATAAACGATTGACATCATTCCAAACCTTCGTGTCCCATATGTCATCTATGACAATGAGGTACCTCCGACCTTTTAGATTCTTGTGCAGTTTTTCTTCTAAGGCACAGGTTTCTAAATTTTGCGTCTCGCCTGAGAGTTTTTTCATAGAATGTAGAAGATCTAGTAGGATTTTACGCTCATCATAATTCTGAGATACTGTTACCCAAGCACGAACATGAAAAATCTCCTGTACTCGTTGATGATCGTAAATTTTTCTAGCAAAAGTGGTCTTCCCAATTCCGGCCATCCCACAAATGGAGAGAGTATCACGTGCCAACAAATTTCCATCCAGCCAATTCAATATCTCTATCGACTCCGCATCAAGACCAACCATAGTGCTCTTGCCACTGCGAGTAGGCAACGCAGTTCTTTGCTGCAAATCTTGCACGCCACTGTAATCCTCAATCTCCATTATACGTTTCTCTGTGGAATCAAATCTTCTTGCTACTTTTTTTAAGTCTTGAAATTCCAAAGCGATCTCTTCTGCTTTATTTGCTGCCTTGTTCTTTGTGAATAATTCAATAAAATCTTATGAGAAACTAAATTTTTTAAGAGGGATAAAATTTATTTATCTTGAGTAATCGGATGATGATAATTTCACAAGAATTATAGTGAGAGAAATAAGAGCAGAATAATCTATTTCTGATCTCTCCTCACACTTTTTCTTGGGAGGAGAGGGCGCGGGGGGGTGATATGGAATGGAGTGGAGTCTGAGTGGAGTGGTTGTGTGGGGCGCAAATTTTTCTATTTTCAATTTCATTTTTTCTTTTTTATTTTATATGAAATATTATACAATTATCATTTTACCCTTATAAATATGGGGAAGAAGATGAAGTTTTAAAGTTTTGTAATTCGAAATACTCCCATTTGCATTCAATAGCCCCCTGCACTCCCCCTTTTTTGGCTTTTCCACCTCCCATAATTTTTGCTCACTGTAGATGATAGTAAAGGGATTGGAGTGTAAAAAGTTGTTTGTGTACAGTAACATATCATGTGCATTGTCATAGAGTGGATTTCTGCTGATTGCAGTCACCTCCGGGGTTCTTCGCACTTGGATAGTACCAGGACCCTTGTGCCTCGGCCCTTGATCAGATAAAGCTGCCCGCCCTATGACCCACAACTCAAAATGAGCCTTGCGACGAGACGCGGACATTCCCCATGCTGCGGTTCCCTCTGGTCCGTTCCCGGGTTGGGTTAGGGTTAGGGGAACATCCGAGCGATTGCCTTCGCGAATCCAAACGCGCTCACAAGGCGCACAATAAGAATAAGACCAATAGAGACTTCGTAAGGGACCATTTGAGCTGCAAATAGTAATGCTCCTAGAGAGGCATATTTCGAATATAGAGGAGACAGGTAAATTGTTTTTAAAATAGGAGTGTAAAATGGGCAACAAACAGGGCTAAATCGAGGAGGGAGATGAAGTTTTAAAATTTTGGAATTGTGGTTGGCACAAATAAAAAGTTTTGGCCTAATTCAACTAATGAAATTGAACAACACGGAGTGGATGAACCTCAGAGGTCACATAAAGAGATTTTTGGGCAATCTGAAAGGATAAAGGATATTCCACAATAGGTCCAAATGATATGAGGATTTTGCTCCAATAAGCCAAAAATTATCATTTTACACTTTTATCCCCCGTTTGATTTCCATTTTCACCCAAAAAAATGCATTCATTCTACCAACATAGGATCCCACATGCTCACATGCATTTTGAATTGACTAGTGCAATTTTTTACTTTCTTGAAATACCACCATTTGCGTTCAACAGCCCCTCGCCCTTTTTGACTTTTCCACCTCCCATAATTTTTGCTCACTGTAGAGGATAGTAAAGAGATTGGAGTGTAAAAAATTGTTTGTGTACAGTAACATATCATATGCATTGTCATGGAGTGGCTAGGTAACGGGCAAATTGTTTTTAAAATAGGAGTGCAAAATGGGCAACAAACAGGGCTAAATCGAGGAGGAAGATGAAGTTTTAAAGTTTTAGAATTGTGGTTGGCACAAATAAAAAGTTTTGGCATAATTCAACAAAAATAAAAAGTTGAGGATTAGAATTGAAATTATTTCTTTTTGATTTTGGTCATATTTACTATTTTTAACGTCTAAACTAAAGGGACTAGACGATATGGGGTAGATCGCACCTCAAAGGTAATATGTGAGATTTTCAGTCGATCTGCAAGGATAGGAGGTTTTCGCAATATGTCTAAAGAATATGAGGGCTTTGTGTCATTAACCCTAAATTTATCATTTTACACTTTTAAAATTGGGGAAGAAGATGAGTTTTAAAGTTGGATTGTAGATGACACAAATAATAGTTTTGGGTATAATCTGCATAAAATAAAAACTTTAGTACCACGATTACAATGATTTCTTTTTAATTTTGGTCATCTTTACTATTTTTAACGCCTAAACTAACAGAATTGAACGGTAAACGGAGAATCGCACCTTAAAAGTCATATAAGGGTGTTCTCATCCAATATGAAAGGATAGAGACGATATTCAGCGATATGTCCAAATGATAAGAGATTGTGTACCAATAAGCCTAAAATAAACCACAAGATGCTAGGATGGGTAATTGGTGCAAAATCCCCTTTATGTTTGTCTTTCTAGTGGAATATCTCCTATCCTTTCATATTGTGGAAAACTCTCCCAGATGATCTTTCCAAGTGTGAAATACAACACTTTCTTCCATTTTCTGAATAAAAACATGTGAAATGACGTATATAACCTACTCTTCAAATAAAAAAAATTAAAAAATAAAGAATTAATTACAGTCATAGTCCTAAATTTTTTAAAAGAATACAAACGAGTATCAAATAAATAATTAAAAAATTTTAATTTAAAAAAAAAAAAAAATCTTTTTCCCTCCCACCTATCACGTCTTCCTCCCCTTCCACCAAACAAAGCAAGATTTCGTAGAAGATTAAAATTCTCAATAATCAGCAAAACAAAGCATTAGGAGAATAAAATTAGATATCTAATTTGGCTTTGATACAACGAAACAGGGAAAGTGAATTATATTTCTATATTCAATAGAGTTACAAAGCATTATTTTAGGTTTGGGAAAAATTGTAGCAACGGTTCCTAATCTTTCACTTTTTGTAAACTTTACTTTAACATTTAATTTGTGTCAATGAACATTCCTAACCTTTGAGAAATAAGCACTTGGAGTCCAAATAGATGTATTGGACCGTTAACTGACTAACACAAAAGTGGACTTTGATTGATTTTAACTTAATTGAAATGGATAAAATGGTAACTTTAAAATTATCACATTAAACAAATAAAATCAAAAAATAAAAAACCAAAAAGAAAGAAAAGAAATAAAAGAAATAAAAAACTGCTGTCTGCTTCTCACAACCCTACCCACTCTCCTTTTTCCACTCCCCCCACGCCCGCCCGCCCCACCCCACGCCGAAATCAACCACTAGCATCGCCACCCACCGTCGGCACAACCTTCTCGGCAACCAGGAATTGGATTGGTGGCTGCTTGGCTACCGAGAATTGGATTTTCCCCAAGTGAGTTTGTAAATGGGAAAATTGCAGCAACGCAAGATCGGGATTCGAAATCCCAAAAGCTGCATCTATTGGTTGTCCCCCTTTTTGTTGAAATGTTATCATCAGATTGAACACTTGGATTGTGGGAGTCGACCGATGATAGTCCGCGATGGTGGGTGTGATCGAAGGAGGAGTTGTCGACAGCTTTTGAGTTTGCGAGTTGGGGTATTTTTGGTGGTTATTCCGGTGACATTTGATGGAGTTTAGGTTGTGGCTGGTTGGGATGTGGAGAGGGGAATGAAGGGATTTCCAATGATGTGTGGGTTTGATAGTTTAGGGGTTGGTGTCATCGACGAGAGACTGAAGGTTCTTATTTCTCAAAGTTTATGGACCTTCATTAACACAAATTTAAGATTAGAATAAACATCTATCGAAAAAAAGTGAAAGGAACAACTGCTACAATTTTATCTTAGGTTTATAGAAAAACCTAAGTTGACATCATGCTTATGAGAAAGGACACAAACTCAACACAAGTCTATGTTTGAGCCCAAATTTTTTAGAAAAATGGATTTTTTAATATTGATTTTTGGAGAATGTGTGGTTAAAAAATAAAAAGAAAATTAAGTTTACGTGCAAAATTATTTTGTGAAAGAATGTGTGAATAAAAATAATTTTTTTGAAAAAATAAATTTTGATAAAAATGAAATTCAAACAGAGGCTAAATATATTTAGCTACGCATTCTTTGAAAAAGCAATAGACGGTGTCTAAATATGAGGATTTAGTAACACGCACAGTCGCATGTCACCTTAAACTAAAAATCAGATATACCTCTAATTTAGACAACAGCGTGAATATGGGCAAGACAGAAATGCAATCTATACATTTACCTATTCTGCTGTTGCTATTAATATTGAATATAATTTCTACCATCCAATTTTCTTGCTAATTCAGCTATTTTATTTTATTTTGCAATTCGAAATGCTTAATGAAGTACAATCCTAACCTTAGTCACAAATGAAGATGGGATAGGTCGTGGTAGGACGAAAATGGGGACCATGGGATGGTTGAGGGGAGGAGGACAGAGAAATGGATTTTATTTTTTTTAATTTTTAATTTAATTTTTTAAATTATTTCGACTAGTTTGCAATTTTTTTGAATATTTTGAGACTATGACTACAATTTATTTATTTATTTTTCCTCCTTTTTTTCAATTTTATAAGAGATTGTTATATTCTTTATTTCAAAATAAATAGAAGAAAATATTTTATTCTGCACTTAAAAAGATCATCTAGGCTTTTCATCAATCTTAAAGAATAGGGAGACATTTCACAATAGATGAAAATTTAGAGGAATTTGCTCCAATTACCCTTCTAGAATTGTCAAAGATGGTAAAAAGCAACTTGCACATTTTATTTTCATAATAATAGCCTATTATACACCATAATAAAAATATCACAAGATGACACAATATTTCTAAGATTCTCAAAGATGGTAGTAAGCAACTTGCAATTTTTATTATTTCTTTTCATTCTTGATAAGAACAAACAAGCAAACACCATAATAAAAAGACCCCACTGGATGCTATATTTTTTGTATTGTCAAAGATGGTAGAAAGGAACTTGGAATTTTTTCTTTCTTTTTTTTTTTTTTTTAATAAGACCAACCTACCAAACACCATAATAAATAAATAAAAGGACCCACAAGATGCTAGGATATTTCTGGGATTGTCAAGCAATTGAAATTTTTATTATTTTTGATAATAATTGCTTACCAAACATCATGATGACACGATATTTCTAAGATTCTCAAAGATAGTAAGCAACTTGCAATTTTTATTATTTCTTTTCAATCTTGATAAGAACAAACAAGCAAACACCATAATAAAAAGACCCCACTAGATGCTAGGATATTTTTTGTATTGTCAAAGATGGTAGAAAGGAACTTGTAATTTTTCTTTTTCTTTTTCTTTTTTTTTTCTTTTTTTGTTTTAATAAGACCAACCTACCAAACACCATAATAAATAAATAAAATGACCCACAAGATGCTAGGATATTTCTGGGATTGTCAAGCAATTGAAATTTTTATTATTTTTGATAATAATTGCCTTCCAAACATCATGATGACTCGATATTTCTAAGATTCTCAAAGATAGCAAGCAACTTGCAATTTTTATTATTTCTTTTCATTCTTGATAAGAACAAACAAGCAAACACCATAATAAAAAGAGCCCACTAGATGCTAGGATATTTTTTGTATTGTCAAAGATGGTAGAAAGGAACTTGTAATTTTTCTTTTTCTTTTTTTTTTCTTTCTTTTTTTTTTTTTAATTAGACCAACCTTCCAGACACCATAATAAATAAATAAAAGGACCCACAAGATGCTAGGATATTTCTGGGATTGTCAAGCAATTGAAATTTTTATTATTTTTGATAATAATTGCCTACCAAAATCATGATGACACGATATTTCTAAGATTCTCAAAGATAGTAAGCAACTTGCAATTTTTATTATTTCTTTTCATTCTTGATAAGAACAAACTAGCAAACACCATAATAAAAAGAGCCCACTAGATGCTAGGATATTTTTTGTATTGTCAAAGATGGTAGAAAGGAACTTGTAATTTTTTTTTTCTTTTTTTAATAAGACCAACCTAC